CAGCCTAACTTCTTGACTTTTAATCTAGTTTCCAGTCAATCAAATTATACTTGAGAAGGGAATCAGAAAAATTCCTAGGTCCCAAGATTTCATACAAGAGAGATAAAAGAGAAGCATTCTAGAATCAGACAGCTTTAGATATGGGTCCCAGTTCTGGCACTTATTAGCATAATTACCCTGGGTCAGTTACTTCAATGCTGTCAGTTTTCTCATCTAAAAAATGGACAAAAGGGGTTGGGGTTATAGTTCAGTGGTAGACTGTTTGCCTAGCTACACAAAACCTTGGATACAATCCCCAATAATTTCAAAAAATAAATAAATAAAGACTTGAATTTCTCACACATGAAGTTAATGACTAAATCTATAACATGTTGTCTGGGTTATACTGTTACTAATACTTACTAATGCTATTATTTGTTTACTAATCTACTTTTTTTATTATTTACTTTTTTTTTAGTTATAGGTGGACACAATGTCTTTATTTTATATTTATGTGGTGCTGAGGATCGAACCCAGTGCCTCACGCATGCTAGGCAATCGATGAACCTCTGAGCCATAATCCCAGCCCTGTTTACTAATCTATTACTAAAGGTTACTTAATACTAACATCAGACAGATGGCTTTGAAAGTCCTTCCCAGCTCAAATGATTAAAATCCCACTCTGTCGCTAATGATTAAGAACTTTCTTTCTCCCGCCCCCCCAGCAACTTTTTTTTTTTTTTCCCCAGTATTGGGTATTGAACCTAGCACCCAGACAAGTGTTCTACCACTTAGCTATATCCCCAGGCCCGCCCTGCCTTTTTTTGAGCCAGGGTCTTGGTAAGTTGTTCAGGCTGGCTTCGAACTTGTGATCATCTTGCCTCAGACTCCCAAGTAGCTGGGATTATAGGCAACACCATGCCTAGCAACAACTTTCTTTTTCTGAAAAAAACCTTAATGTTGTGTGAAACTGTAATGTGAGAGAACTAAGAGTCTCCCCCCAATACAGTACATTCCTGAAAAATCATTTGTGGGGAGCCACTTCAAATGCATGCCCCTTTAAGTCCTGATGCACCATGGGGATCTGGCATGGTAGTGCCATAACTGTGACTTGGCCTAATAAGGTGTGGCCCTGGGAGTGGTCCTAGGAGTAGGCCACATGCAGAGGGGTTGAGCTACACTCACCTGTTCTTTTGTAATCCTATCCCTTGCCTCATTTGAATGGCTTCTCCAAAAAAGAAAAAAAAAAGGGGGTTCAGCATGTGTTTTCTCTCTTTCCACAGACCCCCTAAGGGTGGAGGAGCTGACACAGGACTCAAAGAAAAAGGTATTTCTCTGTGTGGTTATTTTGTGCAGCCCAGTTCACCTGGAGTGACCTTGAGTGGTTAGTGGTGGAATACAACAATCAGTCTTGGAAAAATACTGCCAAAAGGCCAGGTAGGTGTCATTTTTCATTGAATGGCATGGCCTCATCACCTGTTTTGCTGTTTCTCTGGAGCTTCTTGATGTGTGGTAAACTCAGACAAATTCTGAAGTAAGCCATAATAATTCTAACCTCTACATTTGGGAGATTCCTTTAAATCTTTCCATGGCCAAATACATGGTGCAGGAAGATCTGTTCTTCTTATCAGTCACCAGGTGAAAGAACTTAAGGTACCTGGGATCTAATAGGCCTTGCTCTACTCCCCAGGCCATCTCTCTCACAGCATTGGTGATCTCATGACGGGATGTGTATGCAAAGCAGACATTCAGGAAACACCTGAGGAGGGAAGAACAGGACAATTTACAGAGACAGATGACTTGGATGGAGTCCCTGATTAGAGTGGCCCTATCTTGAAAGGACATAGAATATGAAATGTTAACTGTGCATACTTCTGAAAGGTGGGATTGTGATTTCCAAGATTTCTTGGAATAAACTTATTAGTTTTATAAGATGAAAAATTTGAAATGGTCTCTATTTCCCTCTTAACCTCTCCTCTTCTATTGCCAACCAGCTTGCAGAGGATGTGAACCACTGTGACATTAGCACAGCAAAAGAGATCTGATGAAAAACAAATGCACTGCCAAGCACACATTATATTCCAAAGCCACACATAATGAAGTTTACTTATTACTCTATTCACCTTCTAATTGTATGACCTGCCAAGATCATTATGTCCATGGGTTAAAGAAGTGGGTAGAAAATTAGGCTGGAGACATAAGTTGCTGGCAGAGCATTTATCTAGTGTATGCAGAATCCTCAATTCAGTCCCTAGCAAACAACCTTCTTTTTTTTTTTGGTACTAGGGATTGAACCCAGGGGTGCTTAACCACTGAGCTGCATCCCAGTCTTTGTTATTTGAGATAGGGTCTAAGTTGCTTAGGGCTTCGCTAAATTGCTATGGCAGGCCTTCTTGAATTTGTGATCATCTTGCCTCAGCCTCCTGAGTTGCTGGGATTTACAAGCATGTACGACCATGCCTGGCAAGAAAAAGCACTTCTAAAAAATATTTTCTTACTTTTGTGTATGTATTACTGGGGATTTAACCCAGAGGCACTTTACCATTGAGCTATGTTCCCAGCCTTTGTTGTTTTGAGTCAGGGTCCTGCTAAAGTGGGCAAGGCTGGCCTTGTACTTGTGATCCTCCTGCCTCAATCTCCCAAACTGCTGGGATTACAGGCATGTGCCACTATGCCTATCTTAAGAAATAATTGCTTGAAGGATGTATCTTCAGAGAGACAAGGATGAGGACTGCTCCATTTCCATCCAAATGCTTATCAGGTCTAAAAAAAACATGTGTATTAATTTGGGGATGGGATGGGGAAAATATGAAAAAGTGTGTCTATGTATTAATATATACACTAATAACATTATTTAGTAGCATCAATGGTCTGTCCTACAGATGGAAGAAGGAAGTCCTTTAGCATCCCAAATTATTTCCTCATTGCCCCTATACCAAATACAGACCAAGAAAGGCTGAGGATGTCTCCCTAAAAGCAGAAGGAAATCAAAGAGAGATACAGGTTTCTGAGGGGATATCTGAGCACTTACTTATTGTAGTTCTTAGTGGCCTGTACGGCTTGTGCAATCAACTCCTGGAGGTCCAAGGGCAACAAATGCAGATCACCCAAGACCCGGATGCATACCCCATGTTTCTGCAGCTTCTCCCTAATTGGGAAAAAGGAGGCAGTGCTGAGACAAAGCACCTATTCAGTTGGAGAGGGCAAGGAGCTTAGATAAAAACCAAACACCAGCTTCTAAGTGCTTTCCTCCATCAGGCACTGTTCTGTGTGTATTATTTCAGTGTATTATTTCTCTTCAACAGCTTTCAAAGGAGTTTTTACTACACTGTTGAGGATCAGAAAGAATAGTCAGGTATGGACTGTCTAAGGTCATGCAGTCATCAAGTGTTATATATGCACTGAAGTCATGCTCTATCTGCCATAAGAACCCAAATGTCTTTTTTTCACCCCAGGATTGAATCCAGGGGTAAAAAAGCTACATCCCCAGTCTACTTTTTTATTTTCAGACAGGGTCTTCCTAAGTTGCTGAGGCTGGCCTCAAACTCCAGAGTCACTGGGATTACAGGAGTGCACCACCACACCCAGCTAGAGAACTCAAACTCTGATCATACATTATACCAACCTAAGAGTCCTTGTTGGCAAATTAAGTTGTATTTTATGCATTCTATGATGTGTCTGTCCCACTTTGACAAGTAAGCAAACTGCTCTAGGGCAGGAGTTGTATTATTGGTTTTGTTATGTTCTGGTGAAATATGCTATGAAAGTAACAGCTAACATTAATTATGTTTCCTAAGTATCAGACAGTAGTCTTCGTACTTTATATACATTCTATTCTCAAAACAATTTTGAGATAATACCACCATAATTCCCCTTTATAGATGAGGAGACTGAGGCATAGGGAGATTAGATAATTTGTTCAGACAGCAGTTGAATGAATAGCCAGGATTTAAATCCAGGGAGTCTTGCTATAGAGCCTGTCCTCTTAATCATACTACAGCACTTCCACACAGTAACTTCCAGTCTCCATACACATGAGAACAAATTCACTGTTATTCACCCAGCTTCTCTCAGTTGGAAATGCTATGGAGAAACCAAATCCTTCCTACTTCAGAAATGGGAGCTGAACACTATAGGATGGGGATGGATCTCTGGCAGTTCTTTTTTTTTTTTTTTTTTTTTTTTTTTTTAAAGAGAGAGAAGAGAGAGACAGAGAGAGAGAGACAGAGAGAGAGAGAGAGAGAGAGAATTTTTAATATTTATTTTTCAGTTTTTCGGCGGACACAATATCTTTGTTTGTATGTGGTGCTGAGGATCAAACCTGGGCCACACACATGCCAGGCAAGCGCACTACTGCTTGAGCTACATCCCCAGCCTCTCTGGCAGTTCTTAAAGCACCTTGATCCAGAGCTGAAGGCCACATCCACATAGCCCACCGAATATAACCTTCAACTACATTTCTTCAAGGTGTGTGAAGCAAAATCTAGAGCTATAGCTGACATACAGTCAAACCAAAGCAAAATCTGAATTAAGAACTCCTAGATTCAAGCCCTAGTACCCTCACATCCTTGCTAACCTTGCATAAACACTTTCTGTTTTTTCATGGTAAGCTATGTCCATTTTCTCTAGTGCTGATTACAGCAATCTCAGTACTACCTCCACTGTCATATGTTTTGATTTTATAAGAATTATAAGGTTGTTTCCTATTTTTTAGCACACATGTAGTAGACAACAGCTCATCTCTGGGGCCAGTAAGATCCAGGGACACACCTTGGCTATGCCTGTTTCTGATAGCTGTGTGATTCAGAATATATGCCTTAACTTCTCTGGTTTTTATGTTCTTCCTCTCTAAAACAGGGCTAATAATATCCTTCTTATGAGGAAATGTGACCATTAAATGAGAAGATATCTGAGGTTAAGAGCCTGGCACACACTAAGCATTTACAAAAATAAGATTAGTATTTAGTACAAAAGAATGTTTCTCCCCACACCTCCATCTTTAGAACATGGGCATGATGACTCTGAGTTGAATGATGACTTTGAGCAGAATTGAACTCTGCTAGGATCCAAGGAGCGATGTTTGCAGCCCAGGGTCTCACCATTCTAAAACAGACTGTGGGAAGCCCGGCTATGCTTTCCACCACCCACAAAGGGACAGAAATGGCAAAATCAACTTCCCAGAAGCTTCTTCTAGGCCCATCACTGCTGGAACCTAGGGTCTGTTCTCTCATCTTCCTACTCCTAGGTATGAGCTGGGCAGATAACAGCTATCAGCTGTTAATTAAGACTTTTGGGCAATTGTGACTGAAGAGGGATCCATGCTATTTGTGTGCAAGGGATTGAACTCATGATCGCTTTACCACTGAGTAACACTCCCAGCCCTTTTTTAAATTTTATATTTATATTTTATTTGCTGGCTTTGAACTCATGATCCTCCTGCCTCAGCCTCTCAAGCTGTGGAGATTATGGGAGTGTGCCACTGAGCCTGGTGGGACCTATGTTTCAAAGAAAAAAAAAATCTCCATTAAACATCCTCTTTCCCCCTTTTTGGCTTTGCTCCCTAAGTAAGCCTAAACTTTGTGACAGGTAATGTTATTGATGTATTAATACTTCCCAATAGAGGACTCAAGCATCTCCCAGCCCTCCCAAAAGACTATGCAAGAGGAGCATAGTAACTTTGTAGGGATCTATATGCAGCAACAAATGACTTCTTCATATTGCCTTCCATTCCCCTAGTGACAATTTATTGTTTCTAGGAAAAACATTTGATCAAGGTGAGCCAACTAAGATTTGAGCTCATTCTGGGCTGTTCTCTTGAAGCAGAGAAATATGGTCTGCAGAGAGGAGAAAGAAAATGTATGAAGAGGTTCTACCAAATGGATTTTAATTCTTGATTTCAGTTTTGCTTGAGGCTGGCTGTAATTGTCTTTAAATTCTGTGAAATCTCTCAATATCCTTCATTAAATGCCCCCTTGAAAGAAAGAAAAAAGAAAAACTAGTTTGCATTTCTGATACTTGCCACCAGAGATCTAACATTAAAAGTTCTTAGAGGCCCTTAAATAAGCCTCAGATAACAGAGCTGTGAATGCCAGGGGGAGGCTGCAAGTGGAGGAAGAACACGTTCTCTCCTCAGATAGCATCTTACTGTTCTTCCATCAAGCAGGTGAACTTCTGCCGGGCCAGATCCAGTAGCCCATCAACCTCACTCTTGGAGCGTTTGAAGTTCTCAATGCTGAACGCGTAGACTGTCACTTCAAGGATGCCCAAGTTCAAACACCAGCGCAGAGTCTGAGAGGGGAGAAGGTAAAGAGCTAGGACGCAGGAAGAGAAGAAAAGAAATAAGAGATGCTTCAGCCCTGACTCAGAGTTGAGATGGGAGACAAAGATGGGTAAAGCTATAATAATAGTAGTGCTATGTGAGAATAATCAAATAAGCAGAAAGCTTCTGTTTAAGAAACCGAAAAATCCAGGCTGGGGTTGTGGCTCAGTGGTAGAGCACTCACCTAGCATGTAATGAGACACTGGGTTTGATCCCCAGCAACACATAAAAATAAACAAATAAAATAAAGATGGTATGTCCATCTACAACTAAAAGAAAAAAAAAAGAAAAAAAAGAAACTAAAAAATGTGATCTTAGTGAATGTGACTACATAGATACTAATGTGGTGTACTAAAAAGAACTCTCCACTGAGAGTGTGAAGACCTAGGTTCTGGCCCTTGGCCGCATCATGGACTTGTTATGGGACCAGAGACAAATTATTTAACTGCTCTGGGTTAAAATCTCCTGGTCTGAATAAAGGGATCACAATCCATCCATAACAAGGTGGCTAACAAATAATTTAAAATATAAGATATTCACAGCACAACTTAATTTTTCTGATATTATGAGAGACTAATAAATTAAAAGGTTAAAGCAATAATTGGACAATTATGCAACATTTCAGAGTTGGCAATTTTTTTTGTAGTTGTAGATGGATAGCATGCCTTTATTTTGTTTATTTTTATGTGGTGCTAAGGCTCAAACCCAGTGCCTCACATATGCTAGGAAAGTGTGCTCTGCCACTGAGTTATAGCCCCAGCAAATGTTTTTCATGTATATTATTTCATTTGATTTTTCTTTTCTTTTTTTCACCCCCTCAGTCCTGGGAATTGAACCCAGAGCTCTTACCACTGAGCTATACCCCTAACCCTTTTTTATTTTAAAAAGGGTTTCACTAAATTGCCCAGGTTAGCCTTGAATTTGAACTTACAATTCTCCTGCATTGCCTTCTCCTGCTGGGACTATAGGCATGTACCTCCATGCCGAGCCCCTTCATCTGATTTTTCAAACAATCACTTAAAAGTGGCATAACTGTCTTCATGCCTAATTTATACCTGGTAAAGCAGACTCATAAAGCTGAAAAATCATGTCAAAATTCTCCACTGTATGATTTTATTATATGAAATTTTAGAACAGGAAAAATCAGTCTATAGTTACAGAAAGGAGAAGGGAGAACAGGTCTAGACTGGGAAGGGATATAGGAAACTTTCTGCAGAGATGGTTCTATATCTTGTCAGGGTTAGAAGAATGCAATTATTAAAAACTGAAGTATGTGTATTGCACTGTATGAAATCATATTTCAATTTAAAAAGAAGGAAAACTTGGGTTGGGGATGTAGTTCAATAGTAGAGCACTTGCCTAGTATGCATGAGGCCTTGGGTTCTATCCCCCAGCCTCGGGAGGGGAAAAAAAGCAAGTAAGGCAAAAACCACATAATTTACTCAGTCCTCTGGGGTTGCTCTAACCCAGATCACTAAAGATGGAGAACAATCCTGAGTCAAGAAAAACAATGAGATGGGGAGCTGGAGGTTAAAGATGAGGATAAAAGACATTCAAACACAACTGAAGAACAGTGGCTCCTGCTTGTAATCCCAGTGGCCTGGGAGGTTGAGACAGGAGGACTGCAAGTTCCAGGCCAGAGTCACTCAGCAACTTGGCAAGGGAGGCACTATGCAACTTAGCAAGACCCCATCTCAAAATAAATAAAAAAGGTTGGGAAGCCAAGTGTGGTAACGCATGCCTGTAATCCCAGCAGCTCAGGAGGGTGAGCAGGAGGATCATGAGTTCAAAGCTAGCCTCAGCAAAAGGGAGGCACTAGGCAATTCAGTGAGACCCTGTCTCTAAATAAAATACAAAAAATAGGGTTCAGTGGGTGAGTACCCCTGAGTTCAATCCCCAGCACCTCCCCCCACCCCCCGCAAAAAAAAAGGGCTGGGGATGTGACTCAGTGGTTAAGTGCCCCTGGGTTCAATTCCCCGTACAAAGAAGAAAAAAAGAAGAAACAAAGCTGTAGAACTAACTCTCTGATCCTTTACAGGTACACAGACAAAACAAATCCACTAACACCTTGGGGAAAATACCATTAATAACCTGATATTTGACTAGACTCAGGCTCTGAAGACCTTGCAAGGCAGCCATCTTGGATGGCACACCTAGGCTGGAACCCACCCCTACAACAGTTTCAATTTTTTTTAGCTCTTCCCTAGGTTAGGCCCTATGCTGTATGCCATCTTGCTGAATCTTCACATCCATCTCTTAAAATGGAGATTATTGTACACCCTGTTTTACTGAGGCAAGGGGAAGCTGCATAACTTACTGCAAGTCACAAAGCCAGTAAGTGGAGTGCAAGGGTGCCAATTAGTTCTTTGTCTTTACAAGGTTAAGAAATTTGCCTATATCGGTGAGTTCTAAGTACTCCAGAGCTCAAGCTTCTAAGCACTAGGCAAAACTGCCTTACTTAGTTGCAAAAGAGAAGCAGGGGTTAGTAAATCTACAGACTTCTATAAGAGTGCTGGAGAAACCCCAATACCCCATTTTTTTTGAGGCAAAAATTATTAATGCCCTAACATCAGGGCTTGCTCTTATGCCAGGACACTGGAACCTGGGGACTATAAACCATATTTCTATTCTTCTTACAAGTTAGTTACAAAATGTGAGGGTGTAGCTCAGAGGTAGATGTATTTAGAAAGTGTGAGGCCCTAGATTCAACCCCAGCATCAAGAAAAAATTTCACAAAGATTATAATATTCCATATTTTTTTGGGGGGGGGGCGGTACTGAGGATTGAACTCAGGGACACTAGCTACATCCCCAGACCTATTTTGTTTAGAGACAGGGTCTCACTGAGTTGCTTAGCGCCTCGCTTTTGCTGAGGCTGGCTTTAAAACAACAAACAAACAAACAAACAAAAACACTCTTGGCCACACATGGTAGTACACACCTATAATCCCAGTTACTCAGGAGGATAAGGCAGGAGGATCACAAGTTTGAGGGAAGTATTAGAAACATAGCAAGGCTCTAAGCTAAAAAGGGTGGGGCCAGGTGAGGCGGCACATTCTTATAATCCCAGTGGCTAGCAAGGCTCAGGCAGAAGGACTTCAAGTTCAAAGTAGATCTTAGCAAAAGTGAGGTGCTAAGCAACTCAGTGAGACCCTGTCTCTAAATAAAAATATAAAATAGGGTTGGGGATGTGGCTCAGTGGATAAGCACCCCTGGGTTCAATCTCAGGGTCACATTTTTCTAGCAATAATCCAACCCTCCACAGATTTCCACCTTGAGTTCTGTCATCTATACCCACCTCAGCTAGCTTGTTGAAGCCCTGTGAGTGGCCCTCCTGCCGTTCCACCTGGCACTTCTTGGCATAGCGACGGTTCCCATCCATTATGAATGCAATGTGTTTGGGCATTGGGCCTGCCTGTGGAATAAGAAGACAAATGATGAACCAATCTCATATTCTCTGAGGATGAGGGGAGACACTACACTGCACACTGATAGCTTTGAGCTATATGACAAAATCCCTGAAAAATGTTACTGAGTATTTTACACTTTTAGTTGAATAAAACTGCATTAAGCACTTCAGTTTATTTTACTTATGTTTATTGAGCACTTAATACATGCCAGATACCATGCTGGGCTTTTTCTACATCATCTTACCATATAACTCTATAAAGTAAACAATATTATCTTCATTTTATGCATGAATAAACTGAGGTTCAGAAAGATCAAGTGAATAACGCAAGTCATACAGCTAAGAAGAGGCTTTAAATAAGGGTCTGTCTCTTTTCAGAGTTCATCTTTTAATCAAATGCTCTTTACTACAACCTTGTTTTCACGAGTCTCCAACAGGAAGGCAAAGAACCCTGATGACATAATCAAATGGAGATGGCATCCTCCACATGAAAGAGACACCAAGCCTTGTACAGTAGCAAAGGCCTGTAGTCCCAGTTCTTGGGAAATTGAGATGGGAAAATGGCTTGCACCCAGCCTGGGCAACATAGTAAGACCCCTCATCTCAGGGAAAAAAAAAAGGTACCCATTCCCCGGGTGCAGCCAATACTGACACAGGAATTTAGGCCCAGTGTTGTTCTAATCTTTTATTTTTATATTATTATTATCATTGTGGTGGGGGGTACTGGAGATTGAACCCAGGTCTTCAGCATGCTAGGCAAATGCTCTACCACTGAGCTACATTCCCAGCCCCACTGTGTTCTTCCCAACATGTGACTGTCACAATTTCCCGAGGAGATAATTTCCATTTTCTTTTTTTTTTTTTGTGGTGCTGGGGATTGAACCCAGGGCATTGTGTGTGCAAGGCAAGCACTCTACCAGCTGAACTATATCCCCAGCCCATAATTTCCATTTTTTGGCCTGCTTGAAACCACTTGGCATGTGAGCATGTGGTGGGAATAAGAGTTTCTGACTCATAAATTTACTCCTATACCTACTGCTTGACAGTCTATGGCTGAAAAACAAAACCAACCTGAGTGGTTCTAATCTCAAACCTATCTTAGGCAGAGGACATAACACATTGTGATTCCTGGAGAAAAAGCCAAGGGAAGACTTGGGTATGCAAAGGGGGATATGGGAAATAGCAATCATAGTATCCAAATAATAGTAATGTTATGGGTTGTGGTTGTGGCTCAGTGGTAGAGCACTTGCCTAGCATGTGTGAGACACTGGATTCGATCCTCAGCACCACATAAAAAATCAATAAATAAAATGAAGGTATTATGTGCATCTACAACCAAAAGAAAAAATGTTAGAGTTTGTGCCAAGTGCTTTATGTGTATGATTCACTTTATTCTCATAACAACTGCATAATAACTAAAAGTCACATGGTTAATAAATAGGACCTTCGTTCATGCTTGCCTGCCAGGGTTCAAACTCTTTTAACCATTATGCTGTAATATCACATCAAAGAAAAATTACTTTCCCTATCTGAACCCAGAGGACAGTATTAGGATCAAAGCTCCAGGGAAACAAATTTCATCTCTCTATAAGGAAAACCTAACAGTTTATGCTAACCAATGATATTGGAACAGCTTGGACTGCCTGAAAATGTCAGCTGAAACAATAACTTAATAGAAATGTAGACTGGAAGTTACCTTACAATTCTAAGATTGTTTCCTAGATAAAGTCCACTTTTTACTATAGATTGTTCAACTTGAATAATAGGATTCAATACAAGATTACCCAACTGACCAAAAGGCCAAGTGATGCCCTAGCCCACTGCTTACCTTTATGATGTTAGCACAGAACCGTTCCCAAAGTGATAGCTCTCCTTCCTTGATCCATGACATAGTTCTCGTCCAATCAAAAATTACCCCAGAACAAGACACTAGCCAGGTAACCCTGGATAAACAAGAAAGAGAATAAGACGTCACTAGCATTTGCAAATAGCTACAGTTGGCTTCTAGAGAGGCACCTGGACTGTGGAAAGCAGCCAGCATCAGAATCCAAAGACAAAGGCCTAAATCTCTAATCTTTCATTATGCACAGCTGATAAGCTAATAGGACCTTTGGGGCAAGACGCCTTTGCTTGATTTTCCTGGCCTTGTGGACTTTGCTCCCATTTTCTTTTCCTTATTATCTGAACTAATTTCTTCTGAATATCCATGTCTGCTTCCTGACACGTCATGGTACCTATATCTTGGTCATGCCCCATACCTTCCTTCTCCTTCTCTCAAGCCATTTCCCACTTTGCGATCCCAGTCACTAATCCGTTCGCCTTCCACACTCGTTTCCTGATAGCTCAAAGGTCCCATAATTATCTATTCCCTTAGTTGTACCTGTATCTCTCCCGCAGCTGTCACCTCTCTCCTTCTTTCTTAAGTCCTGCAGCTTTGCCGCTCAGCTGGGCGTACTCCCACTGCTCCAGTGCGCCTATACTTCCTCACGACGTGGCGCTGGAAGAACACGTCATCGTTGGGCGCTGAACCACGCCCCTCCCGTCATCCAGTGGGCGGGGCGCGCCTGACGCTTGCGGCTGAGTCGGAGGAGCGGTTTGAACCGGGCGCGGCGGGGTAGTAGGGGCCACGCCTGCCCTTTGCGCACGCTCCGTTGGCGCATGGACGAAAGTCGAGCTCACGTGACCGAGCGCGGCAGGCGGTGGCTTTCCCGGCCACGTGCTGGGGAAGACGGGGCCGGCCCGGCAGCCGGAGCTGGGAGGTCTGTTGACCCCCAAGATTCCAAGGCCTCGGGAAAAATGTGTTTCGGAAATGTACCACAGGGCAAGAATTAAGGGAGCCTTACCTTAGAAAACGGAGAGGCTTCTCGACCTCTAACAGCAGGCTGCTGAGAACTGGGGTAAGGCAGCGCCAGGACTGGGCTTCATCAGAACCCCTTCTCCCAGCCTAGTGTTCAAGATCATATTTTTACCGTATTGCGTCTTATTTAGTGGATTTATCATTTGGGAAGATGGTAGTCGCACTAGCCAATCCTACAGACGTCCTGAATAACAGTCCTTTTTAGGCTGATTTTAGGCATCCAGACTGTGATTTGCAGACTGTCAAAGCCCACATACAGCCGCGGAAATAAGAGGGAAGGGCAGAAACGACTTTGCTGTTAAAGAAGTACTTGTAAAATAACGGAAGTCCGAAATGAACCAACGTAGAAAATTAAAGGGAATCGGCTCCGTACCAAATCTTGCAGGAATTTTAGGGTACTGAATCACAGAAGAAACTGGTAGTTGTATTTTCTCAAAATGACAAAAAGCAAAGAACTTAGGTGTCTGACGTAACCAGTAGTTGCTTTAATACATAAAACAACTTCCATCTGAATGTTTGTAGTGGAAGAGAATCTCACATTCTCAACGAACCTGTTTTTTTTTTTTTTTTTTTTGGAGGTTAGGGTAGTGGCAATTGAACCTAGGGGCAATTTACCACTGAGCTAGATCCCATCCCCACCCCTCTTTTTTTTGAGACAGGATCTTGGTAAATTGCTTAGAGTCACTGGGACTATACCGGGTTCAACAAAATTCGTTTTACTTCACTTTGCTTCACAAACAAGGCAAGGAATAGATGTTGTGACTTCTTTTCAGATGAAAGATTTTTTTTGTTTTGTTTTGATACCGAGGATTGAACCCAGGGCCGCTTAACCACTGAGCCACATCCCCAGCCTTTAGCCTTTTTTTTTTTTTTTTGTAGTTTAGAGTGCTGAGGCTGGCTTTGCCCAGCCTGAAAGGGTCATTTTTAACCGAGCAAAATGATTAAAGAAAGCTCTGGAGATAAGTAACCCACCCATGAATAGTCTTAATACTCATCTGCCCTTCCTGGGGAGTGAGGTGCACGCTAGCAGGTTAGTCCAATTTTGCAGGAAGACTAATTCAAAAGCAGTTTGCTATTTTATGAGCTTCCACTGTTAGCTTTGACTTTTGATACAGTTAAGCTACAAACGCCCAACCCGCAGGGGATGTATGAAACTTCTAACCCTTGCTCTGGTAATGTTACCAGGGTTTGAGGTTTAATGTAGTTTGCTTCCTCAGCTTTGTGTTAATATTTGGTTTCCCTCTAATCAAGTTTTTTAAATCTTTCCCTTAGGGGGAGATGTTTAAAAAGCCAATGTTCATTAGAAGGCGGGCAAACTTTGGCTCAAAGAAAATGTTGGTTTATAGTCAGCGACTCTCCTTTGGCCTCAATTTCCTCAGTTCCCCAACATATTTTCCTTCTTGGGGTACTGTAAGGGGTTAATTAATTAAGATTTGTAAAGGGCTTTGAGGAGTAAGGGACGAGTATTATTAGGGTCTCATGCCCCAAGCCATGGCCCCATCCTTTCATCCCAGCCAGTGGCAGAGGCAACTCCATTCTTATGCATGCCAAGCCTCTAATCCCCTCTTGAATGTGGCAGCTTCCAAGGAAAGGACAAGAGGCCTAACTAGAAACAAAAACCCACTGTAATGAGGTGCTGAGGACTGAACTTTCCAAGATTCATTCTTAACAAAGTGGTAAACTGAAAAACTTAATGGTTCTTCTGTGACTTCTGAGTCCCAATCTAAGAAGGTAAGGATATGGGGAGGAGAAAAGGTCCCTAAATATCTGACAAGGAGAAAACAGTTTGAGTACCAATAAGTCTTTATTCATTGATTTTCCCAGGGAGAGGAGAAGGAAGGGAAGAGTCAGCATGTGTGTTATAAAATGATTAGAAAATAGGAAAGGAAGAAAGTATCTGGGTACAGCAAAATCAAATCGTAATATAAAACACCCCAATGGTGGGGGTCACCAAAGCCCAAGGGGGCTTAGTCTCCTGTATTTCAGGAATGAGGGGAAGAGATCAGGGAAAGAACAGATAGGTACATACTTTCCCACCCTCCCTCCCTCCCTCCCCATAAAATTCAAGATTTCACACAAAGCTTTGGTTTCTAGCAGTAAACATGGAGTTACATTCGTCCGTCTCCTATTAAACAATCTTGTGGCCACTTTGACATAAGTTTCTTGCACCTGAATAAAAGTTCCTGAGTGACTTGAACATACATTCATATTTTCTTTCCTGGTCTCCTGACCCCACTTTGTACATGGAAAGCCCCCAATTGCTTCTCTCTACTTTAGAATTACAGATTAAGTAGATTTGATCCATGCAAACAGTAGTGTGGTATTTGGCATGAATTGCATCAAGAGCTGGTCTTGACTCTAGAGGTTAGGAACAAGGGGCAGGGAATCCCAGCTTCTTTAGGAATTCTGCATAAGTCATTTAAGAGTTGTAGAGACACTCAGAGGATTAAATGTGTATGTAGGTTTTCTTTTGAGGAAGAAGGTAGGATAAGAGTCAGGCTTTTAGGACAGAAGATCTGGCCCAAAATAGCAAACAGGGAAAGAGGAACATAAAAGATGGTTTAAGACCCCCATTTCAAGAAGAGGGCCCCCCAAACTTATGTTTCAGATCCTTTTGCCTGGTGCAGAACCTTCTGTCAAAGATGCTTTGGCTATTTTTCTCTCAATACAAAAAGAAGTTTGTAAACAATAAAACCCCAAAAGAACATGGAGAAAGACCAACACATTATATTTACACAAACTAGGCCACCTAGCAATCACCAACTCAGAGACTCAGTAAAGTCCTACAAAGCCCAGACAAATATAATAACTAGAGGGGGGCTGCATCTGGGGGAGACAAGAAACCAGGATCAGACACACACCACCCAATGCGTTCTATTGCATTTATCCCGTTTCAACACAGTGAGGTAGGTTTGCGGTGATCTCACAGCATGTAAACGAAACCCCCTTTCTTTCCTCTTTTAGCTACTGTGTCACTACTCATAATTATTGCAGCAGGGCAGGACACTGGCTCTGGGCGCCACAAAGAGTCCTTGCTATGGGTCTCCCTGGAAGCCAAGAGTTTTAGAAGGTTAAGGATTTTAGCCCTTTGTTCATATAGCCTTCCTAGTACAGCACAGGGTGGGATAAGGGTACTGGTCTTTGAACTCATCCTTACTCTCCTTTTTAAAAAATATTTAAAACAAAAACACATATACACCCTGTTGTACATGGTAGACCTAGGCTAATCTGGTGAGGATGGTTCTGTAAAGCAAGTTCCATGCCCTAGCATTAGACAACCATCACTTAACTTTGGCTTCCTCTCTGGGCCTGCTACCTGGCCCCCACCTCTCAAACTTCTCTGCACCACTTTTTTTTTGTTTAGACTAATTTCCAGTCTTCCAGTACAAGGAGATCAAGTCATGGGGCAACTCAATTAAAACCTAGTCTCCTATGAAACATTTAAGATGGAGGGGGTTTCAAGAGGACAGTATAGCAGAAAAGCGAGCTCTAATTGGCAGAAATGAGGTAGTTCAATAGGCTGTGCACTCCAAATGGTTGCTCTCCATGGTGATAAAAACAACAACAAAAATTATTCCTGCTGCGCAGACCTGGAGCTGCTGCCGCCTTATCCCTGAGATTGCTCATGTACCTGAGAACACAGTGCAGGAATGAGGGCCTTAGATTAAAATATACAAAAATACAAAACCAGAATATTTATATTAAGGGGGAAAAAAAAGTTAAAATGCACAAGATACGTCATTCGCACACAGATAGTGCAGTTGGCATCCTGGAGAAAGTGGGACCCAAGGTGCAGTTATCCAAGGGAGCAAATAAATAAAATCACATTGGCCCAGAAAGGGTGGGAGTGAGCTAGGAGCAGTGGGTCTGCAGCTATTTCCCCAACCACCCCTTTTGCCTACCCTCACAACCCATGACTTGGGACAGTTACCAGCACTATATCCCAAGATTGGATTATGAGGAAGGAAACAAGATGTGAAAACCCTGCTCTGCTCCTGAGATTCTCCCACAGAATGTGGTAGTTTGTGGGTTGGGTCCATTCATCTGATCTTCTGTGTTAACTGTTTCATGCCCTGGCAAGGGAAATATTATTACATTTCCTTCTTTGAAAGGAAAACAACCTCCCTAGCCAGGCCACTTTCAAAAGCTAGAGGTTTTGGGGTGAAGACTCAGATAAAGCACACAGGTTTTAAGGTGGCTTTGCCCCAAAGCCCTTACTTGCATTTGATAGAGCATGGTTGGAGCTCCTTTGCCTCACCCCTTCCCCCCACTGAAAGGGAAGATGGGATGATGCGGGGAACCCCGGCCTGAGAAACTTGGCACTGCCAGCTACCCCCAACCCACCCTTATCCCCACTTTCTCCACTCTGCCGATTGATGCCTGCTCCTTGAACTCCTGATAGTAAAAGAATAGCCCCCACCGCTATGGCTCAATTCTGGGCCTCTGCAGGGAGCAGGGCAGGGCTGTGGATCTCTTCTTCTTCCTCCCGGAAATAGGCTGGCTTGCCCTGGGAGCTGGGCGCCTGCTGGGCCTTCAGTGGACATGAGGCTACCATATGATTGATGCTTTGGCAGAAGTGGCACTTCTTGGGCTGGGGTGGCAGCTTGCATTCCTTGGCATGATGATCTAGCCCACCACAGTTGTAGCACCTGGTATAAAGCAATGTGGGAAAGGTGAGACAAAGGTATGAGAAGAGGTTAGAGTGCTCCCCAGAGGGAAACCATCTGAGCTTGGGTCTAGGACTGTCACTACACCTTCCTTGCCAGAGACCAGTTTCCCCACTTACAGATGAAGAAATAAACTAGATGATCTCTAAGTCATTTCCAAATCTAACTATATGTCATCCTCAGATTCATGTCAATTTGAAAATACTAAGGTACTTAGAGTCGAGTCACTGACCCCAACTGCAGACTGCGACTTGGGGAATAGATGGCAGCCTACCATACTCTTATCTTAGAAAGAATTTTAGAAAAATCAGATATTGGCTGGGCATGGTGGTGCACATCTGTAAACTCAGTGACTCAGGAGGCTAACGCAGGAGGATCACAAATTTAAAGCCAGCCTCAGCAACTTAGCAAGGTCCTAGGTAAGTTAGCAATACCCTATTTCAAAACAAAAAATAAAAAAGATATAATCTGCTCAGAGCTAAGACGTTTTAAACCCAATAGCAAGATTACCAGGGACCATAGGCTTCATTTATCTTTGGCAACCTGATACAAGTGACAGATTGGGAGAACATACCCCCTTATGACCCAGAAGACTACACAAGCTGGCCTCCAAGGCATACCTGTCTCCTTTGGATCTGCGTTTTTGCATGTTCTTCCCTTTTGGCCGCCTCTCACTCCCAATACAGAACACACCACCAGGGCCAGTAACACGGATGGATTCCAGGCCCTTGGCAGACTTCTTAAAGGTAAACTCCACTGCCTCGCCTTCCTTCAGGCTCCGGAAGCCCTCCATATGCAGCTTACTCTGGTAAAGGAAAACATGGTAGATGTTACCATTCATTTCCATTATTGCAACAAAACTCAAAAGTGCACAAACCTGTTCCTGCAAGATAGGAAAGCAAGAGTGACAGCATTCCCCCTTAAGCAACAAGAACTAAATACCAAGAGTCACCATAAGTAAGAACAACAAAAATCTATATTACATTAACAAAGATTATGATGATAAGTATATGCCAAAACATTGCTTTGCAGCCAATTTAAAGTCCTAAGGAAAAAAAAAAAGTCTAAGAATTTATAAGAAATCAACAAACACAAAATTGAAGAATATAAAGGTAGCACTATAAAGCCCTTAAACATTTTGTATTCACATGATGCCTCAGTTCTTATATTACCACCAAAAGAATAAGTAACTAGAATATTGGGAACAAAATGCAAAATTAAGCAGTATTTAATATCAAAGCTTTAATGTATGCTTTATTAAAAAATGTTAAGAAGTAATAGCCAACGAGACTTAGACCACCACCCCTAGCTACATTCTTTAGTCAGTTTAGCATTACTGAAACTATAATGGGACACATTGAAAAGGGACACTATTTCTTGGTTCAATGCACCAACCAAAGACATATGACTTTAAATTGCTCACTCTGAATCTAACTCTGAGGGAACATCAGACAAACCCAAATAGAGGGATATTCTATACCAGATATACACACTTCAAATATATCAAGATCATGAAGGAAAAAACAGCAAGAACTGTGTAATTAAATGGAATGCAAGATTCTGGATTTTCCTGGAATAGGAAAAAATTAGGATAACTGACAAAATTTGCATATGGAATATGGATAAATGTCTCCATGTCAAATTTGATTATGATCATTGCACTTAGATGATATAAGAGAATGTCCCTATCCTTAAGAAATACACATGGAAATATTTAAAGACAAAGATGCTGAATACTGCAATTTATGGTTAAAAAAATAACTGTATTACAGTTCGACATAGGGGTGCACACCTTTAATCCCAGGGACTCAGAAGGCTGAGGCAGGAGGATCAAAAGTTTAAGGCCAGGCCTGGCAACTAGTAGGACCCTGTCTCAAACCATTGAGCTCAATCTCTGGTACCAAAAAAAAAAAAAAGTATAAACAACTAAAACTGTACAAAGATAAAGAGAATGATAAAGCAAATGGGGCGAAATGTAACTAACTGATAAATCTGGGTAATGGTTATATGGGAACTTTTTGTACAATTCTTATATAATCTTTTTCTTTCCTTCTTTCTTTTACCATGGTGACATGCACAGATTTTTAAACATTAACCCAAAATTTGAAAGGTAGAATAACCATGGACTTAGAATAAATTTACAGAATCAAAGATTATATTTTACATGTATATAAACATCAACAAGCCCTCCGTCTCCCTGGTACCTTTTTTTTTTTTTTCTAACATGACAGTAGAGTGTATTTTTATACATAAGTGTTACTCAAAGTTGAAGGATAATGATCCAATCAGGTCCAATGATCCAAGCATGATCCAAGCACGCAGATGAGAGGATTAAAGTTGAAAGTCACAGCGAGATCCAAGACTATATGGAGAAATCAGTAGGTGAGGAAAACAAGTCAAATTTTGCTGAAACAAATTAATTATCCACTTGGAATTAAACACCTAAATGTCAAGGAAAACTATATATAAAGAAGAACTAGCGGGGCTGGGGATGTGGCTCAAGC